GTCCACCACTAGATTTGAAGAATTCCCAGCAAGATTCCTGCTGGGCAATGCAGCTCAGTATAAAATGTGTGAGAATATTGGCATCATTCTCCTAGCCATAACTTGGACACATATCCCTACCTTTTTTGGTCACTGGGTGTCTGACACATGGGGGAACCCATCAACATGCTTAAAAGTATCCAAACCAGATTCAGAGTTCCACATATGTATGCTGCGGTTCCAACAGTTGGAAGTACAGAGCTTGAGCTGCGGCTCCAAGGTGACACATCTGGCAATGGAATATCAGAATAGAGTTGATCTTTTGTCATGGTCTCGAAGTCTGATTCCTGTGCCAAACTGCAGTACTCCCTGTGTATTTATAATAATAATAGTCCTTGCTTTTGATATAGCTCCTTATCCCATCGTTGAGAAATCTCAAAACGCTGCGCAGAATATATTGTAAAGTGAATTGACTGTGTATTTTGTGGGCGAAACACAGCAGCTAATTGTGCACAGCAATGTCCCACATTCATTCATGGATTGAGTGACCTTTTTTTGATGTCTTATTATCTCCGGAAAGCAATCCGCCAATCGCCTAACAACTGGATTCCTACTTACTGCTAGGTAAACAGAGGCATGAGGAGTAAGGAAACTTGCCTATGGTTTCGCCCTGCCCACAAATTGAACCAGGTCCTCTCGCTTGCAAGGTGAGCATGCTAACTAGCTCTCTGTGGGACTCCACATCTGTCCAAATAAGGCTCAGGAAATTTAAATCCGGTTGGGGAGGCTGTTTTGATTCAAAACAAAGGAAACAGAACTAAAAGCCGCAGCACTAATTACCCTTAAACTTGTGACTTCCACCACATGAATTAGTGTGACTTAATGTGACTAGATATATGCTCCTGTATCATTCACTGTATGAGGTGGGTAGAATTGAGAACAATCCCCCCTCGAGCCCCACTAGTCACTGCCTTCAGACAGAGCTATTTCCATTTATCAACCTCAACACTTGTAAAGCAGTGATATTCTCATTAATTCCACACACTTTAATTTATCACATCACAGACCTTTTAAAAGGTCTTTACCCACTGACACTTGCTGTCTGGTAACATGCTGGCTACAGAGTTTCTGGAGTGTTAATGCTGCTGGTTCACCAATGTGTTAGTTACCTCCTTGAGCGACATTGTTACTAAAATAATAATAATAATTATTATTATTATTATTATTATTTTAGTAATAATAATCCTTGCATTTGATATAGCGCTTTTCACGTCTTCTCATCGTCTCAAAGCGCTTCACAGAATAGACTATAAAGTAAATTGACCATATATTTGTGGGCAAAATGCTCACCAGAAGATTGAACTGGTTCTTTTGGTGCCAGTAATGGTATCGACTGAATAACATTTGGAGCCAGATTTCAGTCAGGAACAAAACTGGATTGTGCCCAGTTCCCACTGGGTCACATGAATCATATTGCTTCCAGCAATCTGACTGAGAGCAGGAAGTACTGGTTTATAGTCTACTTTGTCTATTACTGTAGCTACCGCTGAGTGGCTTTGGCACATGTTCTCTGCTATCAGCTGCTCCTTGTTTTAAGAAGAATAGAAATGTACCACACATTCAGTTACCGGCTTCAGGGACACAAGCTACATTCCTGAGCTGGGATCTGCACTTGTGCAGGTTTTTTGGCCCATTTTTCCACATCAACTTTAGCTCCACCATTCACCCTAATCCCAGTTCCCTGCTTTTTCCCTGCTTCCCCCTCACCCACTCCCATGTACTTCCAATATCCTTCCTCTGCATGTCCAATTCTTTTAAAATTCTCCATGAGATCAATGAGGTAAGTTTAACAACTTTAAAATGTACAAGTTCCATTTCACAGTAGAGTTTGAATGTATTTGTATCCCTACATTCATACTTTGAATAGATATGTTACCTCCTCGGGGGTGGGGTTTCAGCAGGCAGGCTCCAGACAAAAGCACATAAATGAGGTCCCAGCTCAGAAATGGAGTTGGTCTCTATCAACGCAATAAACAAAAGAAAATGAGAAATGAGAAAAGGCCTTTCAGTCCCAGAAGCTCTTCTTTTTGATCAGCTGGGTGTCTGACACATGGGGAACCCATCACCATGCTTGAGTATCCAAACCAAACTGAGAGGTCCATGTATGCCTGTGTTTGGAATAGAATGGGTCCTCTCTCCTTTGAGGGTTGCACCTGGCCAACCTAATTCCAGGGAGTAGTTGGCACAGGTTAGCAAGAACCAAGGCTTTGTGATTCCCACATTGCGTGTTGGGGTTCTGTTGGTTTAACTAGCTAAAACAGCATAGCCTACCATTTAGTTCATTAACTCTCCTTTAATTACATCTCATTGTAGTTTGAAATAACCAAATCTTTTCACCTCTAATTACCTTGCTTGGTGGATTTTTTCCAAATCTTTATCACTGAGTAAATAACTGATATCTGTTTTATATTTGATAATCATATGTTTCAGAGCCCTGTTGTTGAATTTCAGTTATATTTTAAGGGATCTCTCATCACTAGGGAAAGTCATGATAGAGTTACATGGTTGCATAAAGTGATGTAATAATAATAATCCTTGCATTTGATATATCGCCTTATATATGTCTTCGAGACGTCTCAAAGCGCTTCACAGAATATACCATAAAGTGAATCGACTGTATATTTTGTGGGCAAAACACAGCAGCTAATTGTGCACAGCAGTGTCCCACAAACAGTCGTGGATTGAGTGACTTTTTTGAGGCATCATTACCGGGTTTCTACTTGCTGCTAGGTAAACAAAGGCCTGTGGAGTAAGGAAACTTGCCCAACATTTCGCCCTGCCGGGAATCAAAGCCAGGTCTCTCATTTGCGATAAACCATTGCGCTACAGAACTCCACAATATGGCATGGAAACAAGCTATTTATCCTAACTAGTCCATGCCGGTGTTTATGCTCTACACCAGTGGGGGCCAAACGTTTTGGTCGGTCAACAAAATAAATATTTTTGATTGAATATTTCTTGATTTATATCATAAATCACCTAGACTAGTGTGCATACTCACCTAGAAGAGTGTCAATGTTGATGGTCCTGCAGGCCACTTCCAGACCGCGGGGCGTGGGTTGGCCACGAGTGCTCTTCACAAACCTCTATCCTTCCTATTCCCTTCTCTTATATCCTTATATTCCTGTTTCCCTGCATGCATCAAGTTTCCTCTTAAATACATTGATCATTTTTGCTTTAACCATAGCTTCCAGTAGTTCCAAATTCTCACTACCTTCTGTGTGAAGAAGTTCCTCCTAAACTCCCTTTTGGATAAACTTTTAGCTATCTCATAATTATGTCCTCTAATTTTGGACTCCCTACCAACAACAACAAATTGCATTTATATAGCACCCTTCACACAAGGTAGCGTCCGGAATGCTTCATGGTGGCAGAGCTTGACAAATGGAAATAGCCCATCAACGTCCCCTTATTGAATCACTTCCACCCTATGATTGAGCTGTTTACTCACAGAACTCCCTATATCATTTGTTTTTGCATTGTTATAAAACAATGATCTCCACTCTGTATTCTGATCTTCAGTGACTAATTTGTATGATGTATCATCACTAGTTTTACCAGTTCAAGATCTGTGGTTTAATTTTCCAACCAATTTTATCACTCTGGCTGACATTGTCTGTAAAGTAATTTTACATAATTGACAGGTTTCACTTTTGTGCTCTTTGTAACTCTTCTTTTTTTGAGTAAGCTAAGGGTGCCTCGTGCTGCCCCCTGCTGGAAACCAGTGCCGATTCCCACTAATAATGTCCAGAATTCATTCCTCTGTTACATAAATTAGATCTTGCCATTTGCACAAGCTTTAGGTTAAATCCTAATGTCACTTAGAAGCCAGAATCTACAGAAAAAACAATAGAAGTTTGTGTTTTAAACATTAAATCGGGTTTATAATTTTTCACATTTTGTTGGATTTTTGGTGTTTCACTGTGTTTCTGGACTACAACATTTTCTATATCTCTGAGGCTGCCCAGGACGCTTGAACCAAACAAGTATTGCATAGTAGACCACAATATTCAAAGTGTTGCTAACTCATCTCACATAGCATTAAGTTATCTTTACTTGCCCTGCCCCAAACCATCTCTGTTTCTTCAGTATCAACATAATTTTTCAGTGGTAAAGTCAGTGCTGAGGGCCATGTGGTGCCTTAGCAATAAATATCTATGTGCTTCCTTACCCAAGTCCAAATGAGGAAGAGGAAGCTGAAAACGTTCTTTCTGTAGTTGCAAGAGCTTTTTATTAATATGAAACAAATGGTGGAAAATGGATTAGAGCCAGTTCAGATTTCTCATGTTGTTAGAGACCAGCTGTCCTCGTGTTCAATTACTTAGCGTCATTGATGATATGGTCTAATTTCTACTCTGCTTTGGAAGTGTCTCAAATAGGTAGCAATGACACTGACCACTGTAAAGTGTCTAAGACACTGTGTTATGTATAAATGCAAGTGGTGGTTGTTGTATTCATAATTCTCAAGGTGAAAATGTACGAAACTTTGAAAAGCCTTCATAATTTTTCAATATGAAAAAGTTTAAATACCTTGATTTGAGGCACTGCTTTATATCTCATTGTATTATAATGATCTCACTCATAGAATAACTGAGTAATTCACTATTTTCCATCATTCTACACATTTCTTTTTCTCTTTAAACATACATCCTTTGCTGATAAGATTGAGGTACAAGATAAGGACTTTGTCATCTGAAACACCATATTTTCCGAGTTTGTGAATTAACAACAACAACAATATTACATTTGTATAGCACATTTCACGTCGGGAGGACGTCCCAAGTTAAATATTCACTGCTTGTGAGTTAAAGTAATACGTCTGAAGGTACATTTTAATATGGTGTTTCGATGGTAACAATGAGACTCTGTTGGTAACGTTTCTAATGGATTGTGTGTAGCTTGGTGTCAGCAACCCTACCAATATTTCACTTATTTCAACTAACCAATATTTATCATTTTAGGTTACTGTAAATCCAGACAATGGCAACCATAATCCAGCCTCGAATTTGTAAACTGACAAAGCAAGAAGGTCAGGCCTTTGGTTTTTNCCTGAGGGTTGAGAAGGACACAGATGGACATCTGATTCGTTCAATTGTGAAGGAAAGTCCAGCTGAGCAGGCCGGCATGAGGGACGGTGACAGAGTCTTGAGAGTTAACGACACCTTTGTGGATAAGGATGATCACCACCAAGTAGGTCCCACAAGTATTGCTTCCTGCGGACAGCTCCAATCTGGGAAAACAGTGAAAACTGTGAAATGTGATGCAATAATCATCAGCAGTTGCATGTTGCATTTTATCACTTTATCACGTTGAAAAGCACTTGCTATTGATCATAGGAACTGTTTTTGTAGGCAAACACCAGAGTTATGTTATATCATCAAGGTCCATAAACCTTAATTAATATGGAGGATTGTTGATCAGTACATATCCTCTTTTCAGAGAGCATCTTAGGATTTTTAACACCCAATTGAACGGGAAGAAGAGACATCAGTTTAACATCTTGTCCAACACTTCCAACAACATTAATGCAGTGCCTCCCCAGTTCTGCTCTAGAAAGTCAGCTAATGCCAGAAACTAAGGTGGGCTTTGAACCCACTATCTTCTGTCCCAGAGGCAAAAGTGCTAACAAATGAGGCAAAGTGATATTGTGGTATAAATTGTTCCATTTACCGAAAATCACATCTGTCCCTTTGAGGAAAACAGAAACAGAAACCATTTACTGAGTTGGGAAATGGGTGGAACATGAATTTTATGTGAAACTCATATATATACATATTCCTTGTTCTCAAGTAAATGCCAGTGTGCTTATTCTCTGTAGCTAGATATATAAAAGATAGAGGTTTGAAGGGATATGAGGATAAGGCAGGTGCAGTGGGAATGAATGGACACCTGCTCTAAGAGCCAGTGGAGACTTGGTGGCACGAATGGCTTCTTTCTGTGCTGTAAATTTCAATAATTCTTCTGCCTATAAATCTGCAACAATTTAAAACAAATGCAGCGTTTGGAGTAAAAAAAGGGGTTTTAGAATTCTTTTTATTAAAATGTGAAAGCTTTATCACAAATGACCTCTGAGGCGATCACAGCATTTAAAGGAGAATTGGATAAATACTTGAGAAAAATTAATATTAAAAGGCATGTAGAAAGAGCAGGGCAATGTGATGAAGAGTAGATGGCTCAATTGGGGGAAGATAGCAGCAACAGCACAGATACAATGGGCCAAATTATTTCTTCTTAATGCTGTGAATTTTCTTAGATTGTGTGGTGGGGCAGGTTTACTTTTTATATATCACCGTACATTATTTAAGAGGAAATGATGCATCCATGAGGGAGAAGGGAATGGAGGATTATAGGAGAGGGGATTAGAATGGGTGGAGGCTCATGTGGTGTGTAAACGCTGGTACAGACTAGGTGGGCCGAATGACCCATTTCCGTGTCATAACATTCTGTGTAACTCCATGTTGTGTGATTCTGTTTCAGGTGGTGGAAAAAATTAAAACATATGGAAATCAAGTCACCTTTGTGGTATTGGATGATGTATCTTATGTAAATGCTAAAAAGCAAGGCTCTGATCTAATTGAAATCAGCAATCTAAATTCCAAATTCATCCAGCCGGTGATTAATGGAGTAAATGGGAAAACAGCACAGCCAAAACTCTGTTATCTGGTGAAGGAGTCTTCTGGCTACGGTTTTTCACTGAAGTCCACAGAGGGTAAGATTTCAAGATTTAGCAAATGCTGTTAACTGCAAAATAATTTTCAAATGATCTAAATGATAAAGGTTTGCATATTTTCATTACAGATTAGCTGTCCTTTTGTAATTTGTGTGGGGAAATGAACAAATTGCTGTAACTGTGTGATTCTGCATAGATACTTGCTATTTCCTCTAACTGTATATGGGAGGATAATTACAGTATGTGCTGTGAAAATGATCATGCCACATATTGTAGCCGCCCTCCACAGTTCACAGAGCTTTATGTTCTTAATTCAGCATTTCGCCCACAAAATATACAGTCACTACACTTTACAGTGTATCCTGTGAAGAGCTGTGACACATCTTGAAGACGTGATAAGGTGCAATATCAAATGCAAGGATTATTATTGTTAGTATTTTATTATAAATGTTTTGCCTTTTCCTCAGTATATTGAGTAATCGGAGGGAAGGGTAGGGTGTATGTTCTTTGTTAAGGAAATGCCCTTGAAGGGCCAAGTAATTTTTTCAGTCTATGCTGGGTGTTAAGTTTACAGTATGGGCAATGAGTCAGGTATAAATAGATGGTGAGTAGCCAGTACTCAAGCAATAATTCAGGTCATTTAATTATTGAAGTGTTTTACTGTTTTAGGTATTCTAAATTCAGCAAATAAATAATATAGGACACTTAAAAATGTAATCATTGCAAATAAATATGAAGGATTTCCAGATGTTCCCTCAGATTGCATCAATTTAAGTGCAGTTACCACAAATAGGTGCTTAATGGCAGGATTCACCTCCTCCTCCCTGCAAAGCAAACAGAAAATACACTGTCTTTCATCAATGCTGTAGAAGTGCAGTCCTTGCAGTAAAGCAGAGCTGTGGATGTCACAGCCATGTTACTGGGGAATAGTATGGGATGAAGAATGTGAGGCATGGAGGAACGAGGAAAGAAGAGCCCCTACATTGTCCAGAAATTCTTCTATTACATTTATTTGTTAGTATCCAGTATAAGAGTGTCAGACCCTTGAAGTGCAAAACTGAGTTCAAATTGTGTCCTGTTGAAAAGTTTTAAGCTTTACAGCTTTTATTACTCCTCGATCGAAACTCAGTACTACCCATTTCTTTCAGTGATGTTAAAGTTAATGCAAACCTTGCTTTTTTGCAGGAATTCCTGGCTTGTTCATCACTGAAGTTTCCTCAATTGGGGTTGCAGCCGAAGCTGGTGTACAATTAAATGACCGACTGATTGAACTGAATGGAGAAAATGTTGAAAATTTTACACATGAGCAAGTGGTTTCTAAGGTACAGGTTTGAGCTGCATTACTGAATAGAAACATAGTATAATTGTCATTTTGAATGCATTATAAAACGCTACTAATTTAGCCCAGTTCCTTTACTATTGCTGGTCTCAGTAACATATCATGCCCAACTTCTGTGATTTGTACTGCTCTTCAAAAACAAGTCTAAAACATTCTTCTATGACCACACTTTCAGGCATCTTTTCCCTCCCAAAGCTCCTTGGAGCTGACCCTTCTCCGGGTGTCCATCCAGCAATTTGTAACACTTTGAGACTTCCTCCTGACATGAAAAGCGCTATATAAATGTAAACTGTATTGTATTGCATTGTTTTATAGAAACATTGGGGGAATTTTTGATTCTCCCCATTCAGAACAGCATTGATTTGTAGTCCTCGTAACAGCCTTTTAGTCCTGCTTCACAGGATACCATCTGCATTTTCATGATCTTCTTTTAGCTGCACTCAACTGCTGATCTTTGCAATGAGAGTAATCCCTCAAAACAGAAATTCTCCAGTGAAAGAATGGTCGTCCCCAGGATTTATTAATTTATAAATAAATAATAATAATCTTACATTTGATCTAGCACCTTTCACATCGCAAGAACGTCAACAACACACCCCCCACCCCTCGCCCCCTATCCTGATAGAATTGGCCATCCACTTCATGGGTATTTATGCAAATGGACTTCCTACAAAATACACAGTCACTGCTCTTTAGAGTGAATCCTGTGAAGTGCTTTGCGGTATCGTCTTGATGTGGAAAGGTGCTACGAAAAATGCAAGGGTTATTATTATTAGTATTCAGTTTACCCTCTTTTGTGAAGTAAGATATGCTAAATGTTTTAACCATTTCAAATGTTATAGATCAAAGGAGCAGAAGACTACATTGTCCTGCTGCTTGTTGATGAGGAGTCGGACAAATACTTCAAAAACAAGAAGATTACCATTGTGGCACCCATGGCAAGTGTAAAAAACCTTCCTTACCAGCCACGAGTAGCAGACATTACCAAAGGACCAGATGGCTATGGCTTCTACTTGAGAGATGAACAAGGACATCAAGGTATTGTGAACTGTATTATTTATACATTACCTTCAGCACACAAGGGTACAGCAAGTAAGCAAATTGCCAGATAAACAACATTGATTTTTGGACTTATGTTCTTCCTTCATTCTTCTCTGACTGTCTAGGTATAAGTCACTACATCAGGGATATTGACCCAGACAGTCCTGCAGAGAAATCTGGGCTTGTTGATGGTGATTGTCTGGTGGCTGTGAATGGAGACGATGCAGATCAGTTGGAGCATGAGGCTTTGGTGGAGAAGATAAAGAAGTGTGGGAGCAGAACTACCTTCCTTGTTGCTGATTCACAAACTCATGAACTTTATAAGAAGGTAGGTAACTACATTGCTCAGCAGTCAAAGGCAAATGAGAGATAATCCTTTCCTCGAGAACACTCAGAATGTAATAGTGAGCTGAATGTCTGTTGATCTTGTCACGGTACTCTTAACTCTGGGTAAGATTTACACGCTCCTTCCAGGTCCACTCTGAAAGGAGCAATCCTTCTCTTCTCATTTTATGTCAAAGATACGTGTCTGGTCAGAGTGGCCTCACAAATTGCACCAAACACTTGGCAATTAAAAAAATATTCCTCATTTATTCAAACTCACAGGCTTCAATATATATTCCTGTATTCAGAGCATTTGACACAAAAATAAACACGATTCTTATATAACACATATTATATCAATATAACTTTAACGAGGCATAATATCCCATACTCTATAAGATATCTAACCACTCAGCCTCAACACTTGGACCACCAGGGTTAAATGAATAGAGTAACCTTAGCCCAAATTCACATCTCCTCAAAGTTCCTGAAATTCAGAGTTTTTATAATTAGTAATGGTGGAGTCAACTGTTAGTTAAAACTCCAAACCTCACCAACCCCGGTCTTTTATACCCCTAATGTGCCCGTTGACTTTCTTATCTGTTTTTGGTACTTTGACAATTTGAAAACGGAAAACTCGTTAACTGAACTATCATTCAGACTAAAAGACTCTGATAGGACCATAAAATCCATTAACTTACAAAATCTAACAAGAAAGTCATAAACCGAAAGCACCTAACCAACATTTTCACACCTTAAGAAAGATAAATAGTTTGATATCTCAATCTAACAAATTTAACAGACTGTCTGGCTCCGAAGACCCGTGACGCCTCTCAATTAACCCAAATATTCACCGTATTAACCCTTTACTACCTCGCAATCTGAATGAAATATTATTTCCCCAATCAGGAAAGTGAGTTCTGAGAGTAAGTTTGAATTTAGCCTAACAGTGTTGCATGGAACAAGTGTCTTAAGAAGAAAAAAACGTACTCATCAAGTATCAGCTTGGCTCAATTGGTAGCTCTTTGCTTTTGGGTCACATAGTTGGGGGTTCAAACCCCTCAACAGTAATTTGAGCTCATTGTCCAGGCTGGCACTCCAGTGCAGTAATAATATCTGTCGTTCTTACCTTTGATATAGCATCTTTCCTGTCTGGAAGCCATCTATATTGTGATATTATTTATAAATGTTGCCTCTGAATCAATGATATACATGATCTATGTTATTTCAGTTAAATGATTGAAGTGTATAATTGGTAAAATATATTGCTATGGATCATCTCTTAATGTTCCATCATAGGCTGGTATTTCTCCTATTTGCTACTGGAATGAGGTATGCAAGCCACATAGGCATCAGGAACTTGAAATTGAAACTCCAAATCAGACCACCGAGGCCGGAGAGGAGCAGAGATTTAAACTGCGCCATATTTTTAAAGGAGACGAAGGATATGGCTTCATTCTCGATTCAACTGAGGGTGTACAAAAGAAGTTTATTAAACAGGTAATATGATGAACAGTGATGCACATTAAGTTTCTTATTTGCCTAGCATGTGGATATTGGAGTTGAGGCTCATCTGTGCTAGGTTTTCATAGCTTGGTGTTATGTATAAGCATCCCGGGTGCCTGTTCTGTTGTAAGAACAATACTTTAGGATGCACTAAGCCAGTAGTGGGCATAGTTGTAAGGGTCAATTTGACTGTAGAGCTTGCCTGCTAAAGGGATGAGATTAAAAATTTCAACCAAACCAATCTTGTAATCTTGAGTTTGAAGCAATTCATCCATTGAGCCTTTTCCATTGATTTCTTAGATCTTACCAAATCTTTTAAGCGCAACAATGCCTCACATTTTTGCCAAATGCGTTTATGGCTGTACTATCCAGCTCCCTATTTCCCTTTTAAATATCCACTTTGATTCTGCCTTCTCAGCTCTCTAGGGTCAGCATTCTACATCTTCACAACCCATGTATGAAGAAACACTTCAGTTCTAACTCTCTCTCAGTTTAATGGCTGTGCCCTTTAAAATGGATCCCACTATCAGAGGGAAGAGCCATGCACTATCTAACCAATCAAATCCTTCATTATTTTAAATACCTCAATCAAATCACTTCTTAACCTCTTCTGACCTAAAGAATATAATCCCAGGCTACCCAACCTTTCTTCATAAACAATCACAATTAAAATCTTAAATATCTCACAAGACTGGTTTGGATGAAGGCCCATCCAATCTCATCCCTCCAGAATACCCACACCCTCTCACCCCCACCTCCACCCACCCACTGCAGCATCAAGCTGCTTTTCGAATGAGCCCAGTGTCTTGGTCTCAACCACCTTTCCTGGCAGCCTGTTCCAATGGTTGATTACCCTCTGAGGTATGTAGTGGAATGAATTGCACCTTTTTTAAAATAAGACAAAAGAGCATGAGAGCGAAGTGACAATGTGGGGATTATGACTAGCTGTAAGTCGATGCTTTGAAGGTGTTTCTTCCTGGTCTGATTCGGATCAATTGAATTTGTTCATTAACTTCTTGTGGAGAAAATACTTTCTGAATTTGTTGAGAACTGAAGGTTGTAGACTCTTGGGTCAATAATTAACATTTGCAGTTAATAACTGTCAAACTAACCAGGCAGGTCAGGTTGCACTCTTTCAAAGTTTCTAAATTCAGTTTAAAGATCCAGGAAGTTATGTGCCGCACAACTGAACTATATTTTAATTATGAAGTGAGTGTCTTTTTTTTAACATTCATTTATTTTTACATGCCTTTTGACATTGGAGACCTTACATTGGTATGATTCCTACCCGTTTAGGTGGTTGCAGGAAGTCCAGCAGAAAAGGCAGGCTTGGAAGAGAATGATGTATTAATTGAAGTGAATGGTGTGAATGTGGAAGGTGACACCTATGACGAATTAGTGAGAAGAATCAACCAAAGCGGAGATCGGCTCAGCATGCTAGTTATTGGAAGGGAAGAGTACAACCTCCATGAGATGAAGAAAATACCAACCAATTCCTTTTTGAGCTCAGCAGAAACTCCTGAATTAGCATCTCCTGCAGCCCAGACCGAAGAACAGTCGGACGGACAGTTAGACGGACAGTCGGACAAACAGTCGGATAGACAGATAGATAAACAGATGGAGGAGAGCAATTCTGAAGAACCAATTGCTGACAGTCCACCAGAGGAAAATAAAGAACGGGTAATCACTTAGGTTTAAGTTATTCACATTTTAAATGCAGGGGTTGCAACTGGATTGACAAATGATAGGTAAATGTTGAATTCTGTCATGAACTGTGTGTGTGTCATGCTGACCCATGGTAATTCTGACCATTAAAATCTGCAGCAGAATTTATTGTGGAGTAGAATCACCAAGCATACATTGACAAATACATTTAAATTTAATACATTTAGCAATTGGAGTAAAGTAAGGCCTTCAGTTCTCCAGTGTGAGTGACCTAATCGGAAACTTCCAAATACAATGGATGCACATTTGATCAAGCCCCGTGACAACTCTCATTTGGATATTGTTTCATAATATTAATAATCCCAGTGTCCCTTCAACTTGTTTTCTTTAAAGTGCATCTCAAGACCTTCCTCTTTGACTGCATTTTAAGCTATTTCCCATCCCACCCCCCACCTTGCCTCCCACTCCCACATCCCCTACCCCCATCTCAGGTGAAAACCCTGGATTGTCCAGCGCCTTGGGATGTCCTCCAAACGTGAAAAACACTGTAGAAATGTAAATATGTATTGTATACTGACCTATTATAGAAAGGTGATTGAAGAAGCACAAATGCTACAACGGATTAATCAGCAAAATCTATAGTAGGGGATGTGCAGATACCAGCTCATCTCTGCGGTGACCTCATGAGTTTGGTATGTTCACTGAAATTTTACAATTGAATTTTCCTTGATCATACCTTGACAGGAGAACAAATCTAATTAGACAAGATCACAAGATCGGTTTGGGTGACAAAAGCCCTTCGTCTTGCAAATGTATAAATTACAAATGTATTGAATCTTACTGACAATGTTATCCCTTTGGTGCACATATGCAGAGCAGGCAACTAGCTCAGGAAGCAGCACTTGAGCATCATTTCTTGATCGACAATGAATGGGGTCTCACACTAGTAAGGTTTCAGATCTTAAGTTTCTAGTTAATGTGCTTGAGTATATTAATCAGCATTCTCATTTAACAGGCAGAATCAATTTCCTCATCTTTATCTGAAGAGGAATCAGCATTTCCCTCAACAGGAAGGCTGACATGACATGACTAACCATCTCCTGATCACTGTACTTTGAGTGCCTTTTGCCCAGGGTAGCTGTGGACCCAGTTTAATTTTATATTCTCATTTAACAGGCAGAATCAATATCCTCATCTTCACCTGAAGAGGAATCAGACGATGACACACAAATGTAAACAGATTTTGAAAGGAAACCCCAGCAGAAGTACCACAGTCACTTGGTTTGGCAGTGCTCACTAACAAGACCTACAGCAGCTTCAGTCTTGAATTCCTGCTATTATCGATAATCAAATTGTTTTTCTAGTCAAGCAAATATTTTCAATGATAAGTCATGCCTCTCCCACTTCAATTGGCTGCCTTTCCACCAAACTCTGTTTGAACAATAATATTGTTTTGCTCGTCATTAATTTCATAGCCACACATGGTACACTTAGCAATGCATTACTTTGAACACAATTAAAAGAAACGTAGAGCAAAATGAACAATGTGAAGCGAGTGATAATTCAGTACTACAGAACTCATGATATGGACTTTATCAGGGATCCGTACATTTGTCAACCGCAGTACCTCTTTCCTGCTATGTATCCTTTATATAATTGTATTTTACCCTACAGTTGATGAATGGTTTTCCAAGAGTATATCGCAAGGCAATAATCAGACCTTGGTTTGGGGGATTGGGATGTACAAGTATAAATCTGCTAAAGGATTGTGCAAGCTTTAATAATTCAGCCTCAAACAATAATATGGTGTCCATGACATGTTTATTCTGATCTAGTGTTGTGGACATATTGAGATAGTTACAAATGAATTTCTGTAATAAAGACTACGCCAGTGAACAAATGTGCCAGTAACTGTACAAAGAATAGGGAGCCAGCGCTAGATATTTGAGTGTATGGTTTACTGTCAAATTATGAAGACTACAAGTCTAGTTCTCAAAAAAAATATCCAAGACAAAGTATCAATTTTAGCAATTGTGAATAGTAAAGTTCCTTTCACATACCTGATGGGATTGCTGTGCTACAATCACATGCAGATAATGAGATCAGATACTGAATTAATTATTATATCTAACACCAACTGCTGCTTCACGTACAACTTAATTGAACTAAATAAAATGAAATGGCTGAAAGTCTCACAAATATTGTGTATATACTGCCGGTTTGGTGGTGAATGAACACGATGGGTGGGGGTAGAGGGGGCGGGAGAGTGGGTTGCCAAGCATTCTTCCTACATTATGCCTAGCTCACACCAGTTTAGAAATGCAAAATGACAATGCAGTGATTTTAAACAAAGTTTTCTTTGATTTATTACTACTGTAACTTTGTGCCAAAAAAAAACATGCTAAGTTTGCAATGCAAGCTTCATTTTTTTAAATATTTTTAAAATTGTTTTTCTTATTTTTTGACCATTGCTTGGGGTCCTGCTTCTATAAAAGATAATTAATGCATGTCAAAAATGTAAAATATCACTAATCAACTTGGAATTGATTATAAACCATCATTATAATGGATAGAAAGTTAGTGAATATCCTTTTGTGCAAAAAACAATTGCCTCCTTGTCACGAGAGTAAATCATCATTTTTTTTTGCATCCAAAGATTGTTTCATTGATTTCTGTGAACACACAAGTAGCATGGTCATGCTATAGAGTGCACTACTGCATCAAAGGTTTACCTCACAACATGGGAAAGATCCCACATTTACAAGTAACACAGAAACATCTCTTCAGTAACGGAGCAAGAATAAGAAATATTTTAGAAAAATCTCACAATAGACAAGTTGTACCAGTAACACCACTCACAAATTAGTTCCTACAGTGCAAGGAACCCCAGTACATTAAAACTTCTAAATCAATATTGCACCAATGCAGACTTCCATAAACAATGTGGGCTAAGGAGTGTTTAATAGTTTACAATCAAATGATAGAAACACTATTTGAGCATTCAGGGCATTATCTCAACGTCTCAATTGTTTACAACTAAGTACAAATATATTGCTTATGCATGAATATCACAATCCCATCAGTTTGGCGATCACGAGGAGGCACTTGTTTAATGCACAGATAAGATGAAGATCCTGGATTATAGCAGTTAAAAATCATTTGAGATACAATTGTTTATCAAAATAAAGTTATACTTAAACAAAACAAGTAGGTTTTCACAAATAATCTGTAATGTGCAATAGAAAAATACACAGATTTAAAAAAAAAGATGCCAAGGGTTCTGTGAATTCAATACAACTGCATATCAACTCAGTGAATTTAAACAAACAAATTCTAAGCAAAATACTTACTCGATTTTTTTTATGGGGTGGGGGCCGTGGGGATATGTGTATCAGAAGACGAGAACCAGTTTTAGAAATTCCAAGTATGGTTCCTCCTTCCCCCAGAATATATACTTGTAATACATAATGTAATATGTCTGATACAATCATTATATGGCAACACTACATGGGGATTCATTTTTGAAAACAGTGGATGTTATATATCGTTTTATTTAGCACAATCCACTCTATAATTTAACACATGCAAATGTCTTAGTTTCTTATTTGTCATTTTCATATTATTGAAACATTTGTGATTTCTACAGTGTCAAGTTCTACATTGGGCAACACTCCTCAACACATTTAGCCCACAAAAAAGTTTAAACTTTAGGGCAAAAAATTCCTCTTATCACTAAGAGCACGGACATTATCTAAGCAGAACAGAACTGAGAATGATATTTTTTAAACATCTGATATTACCCCACCTTAAAAATTGAGCATAAAAGCATTTAGAGGGACACTGCTCAAAGGCCAGAACAAGGGCTTTTAAGATCAAGTGAAAAAAGTTGGGAGGACGAGTTCCCAAGCTTTAATTAGAATTCTAGCTCCGCTATGCCAAATGTGAAAGTTTTGCAGGTGCTTGTGCTGTGATGAAAATATCCCTGCTTTCTGTTATCAACTATAACTCCAGCTCCTCATCAAGGTCATTGATTATAGTGAAAGCCATTTTACACCCACGGCTATGACAGATTAGCACTTGCATTTAGCAAAAAAAACCACTCACTTAATGTAAATAAAGCTGTTTACTTCACTGGGTAATTTAAAAATATGATATAAAACAATTAAAGTTAGATCAGAAGGCCGCTCATTCAAGCAAAAATCATACACAATTTAGGAGGATACTTAGCTGAATAAAAGGATACAAAACTTAGTTATTTCTATTAAACGCCTGTCAACAAACTCAATTCTGTTATTTTCATTTTAACAACAGTTCATTGCAAATATTACTCATGATTTTTACACAAAAGATTTTCTGAATTTTTTTGCCCCCTTTTGTTTTCTTTCAAAAATATAATCAAAAGTATCATCATAAAAAATAATCTCTAAAGCTGTGACAATAAAGAACATAGGTACAGCATTTGCCAATAAATTCTAATCTGCGTCAATGGGTCTGCACAAAAAGCCCAGAAATATCTGGAGATAGAGGAGAGCATGACAACAAATCATGCAGACAGGTCCCATGACAGGCAAACAGCTGTTACAAAACAACACAAAGGTCATAAATGCCTTTGCAGATACAGAGTATAATTTATTGAAACTGATGATTTAGGGAACACAGATTATGTTTGAGAATACACGACTCAAAAGGTTAACGAGGGAAATTGCCAAATAATCAACAGTAATGTCAATAATAAAATCTCAACTGGTATTTTTGTTACAGACATCTGAGGAGATTCCACAATACTTCACATTTTCAGTCACCTCAACAAAGCAGATTTCTTACTTATTTTGTAACATGAATAAGTCATGAATGTTCCTTACAAAATTTACAATACGTATGATATGAAATTACTTTACAACATAAGTTAAAAAGCTTTTTGAATACTCAAGGCCCCAAAAAATATTAGTCTGTAGCTTTCAAAAAACAAGTCTGTTCTCAATTTGTTCCCTTCCAAATTATCCAAAACTTTTAACAGTGATTCATTTCCTACATTGTTTTTCCAAACCAATCTTCCTATAATTTATAGTTATATCGCTTATATTCAATCCTCTTAACCCTTCCAGTTGTATAGTCGTTTTACACCTGTTTTTTCAAATAAAAATCCCTCCAGGTTTTACAGTCCTGAAATGGGTCCATATTTATCTTGACTTTTCTCTGTCATTTCAACTTGCGATCATGACCATGACCAAAGCTTAAGGTCCAGTGGTTTAAAAAGTTGAAATAAAGACTGAAGCAGCTTGATATTGTTGTTTGCTTCCGACCTCCTAATCTCTGGTGGTTAAAAACTCATATGCTTTTCTGGAGCTTGTTTGTGTGCTAGGTAGAGAAAGACAATACTGGAGAGAGCACTGACTAAAAAGATGACATCAAACCAGCGGTGATAGAAATTGAATTGTAATTCTCCTAGGACTTCAGTAACAATAGTACGATATTGAAGTGGAATACTCATTCTCATCAGCAGCACTGATGAAACAAAATACATCCCCTGTGATGGAAAAAAAGATGTTTAAGAATTAAAGCATTTTATTATAACTCAATTGTTTGTAACTAAAAACTAAACATCAAAATAATATTTTTGGAATGCTGTTTATTTGGTGCTACTCCACCGATAGCCTCAGTGTTAAACTTCTAGAGTTATTTAATGCATGACATTTTTCTTCCGTGACCAATAACTCAAAGTCCACCAATCTTGAATTAATATCCAATCCTTTTTGCCTATAATCATTATTATTAATACCCACAAATGAACAACTTTAAAATGTTTTTTACAATGTAAAATTGTAAAACATACAATACTTTGTGTGTGTTTCCATGGCAACCTACAATTCTTTAAAAATATAATACTTAAAATTCTATTGAATTACACAACATAATGATACAAAAATCAAAATGTGCTCCCTTTCCCTATCAGCTAATGTGTGTGTCACAGGAAGATTAAGCAAATCTTTTTGGAGAGTTTATTTACCATAATCTGTGCAAGCACCAACACGATGACATTTGAAGATTTGCTGCTGGATATTGCATAAAAAAACTGAGAAAACAAAAACAATTCAAATGAAACACACATTTGCTGCAACTTGGACATCACAGCGGAATAAATAGTTCATATTAAATCCAAACACCTATTTGATGACTAGTATGAATTTTGTACAATGCGTGTTCAATTTAATTTAATCTATTATTGTAACTAAATAGATTAACTTATTTTTCATATTAGAACACATTTACATACTATCCACATTCGTAATTAGTACCATATAGGCAAACAAGGCATAAAGTAAATCTGTGTGTCAGAAAATCTATTCATACCTTTTTACCAGCAATGGTACCCTTCCACACACACAGAAATATGGTACACAAAGCTGCATATAAGTCTGACGTCCAAAACATGCACTTAATAGTGTGTTGAGTTTTCTGTCAATAAAAAGTTTTAATAAAGACTCTGAAAACAGCTTTCTACCTTGACTCGCATACCTACCTTTGTGAGCGTTATTAATAAGCCCCTGATGGAGGTGACGATGATAATTCCCACTAATATAAAAGAGATATGTTGAGACCAAAACTTGACCTGCATTAAACAAAAAACATTTATATAATAACAATAATCCTTGCATTTGATATAACACCTTATTATGTCATTGCAATGTCTCAAAGCTCTTCACAGATTATACTGTAAACTGAATGGACGATATTTAAAAACAGAGTTTAAACTAAACTTTCTTCTTTTTACTTGATGATTCTCACGATCATTAGAGCATTTGGGACTTGGCATCTATGGAATACATCTCAACGGACCAAATCCTCTTATCGTTTCATAAATAATATTTTCATTTTCAAGTACCATAACTGGTAGTTTTACAACGATCAATTTAACAATTTAGCACAGCCTCTAAACCAATTATAGATCAAGAAAATTAACATTAACCAATACATTACTTACATCAAACTGAATCCCCAAATAGTTGACTGTGATTTCTATCCCTCGAGTAACTGGATCCGTCTTACCTACACGGTCAAAGACGATGTTTATTGTTGCCTGCGGTTTGAGTGTAGAGAAAAAAAACCAAATCAAATATCCAGAAAAGATTAGCATTTACAGTTCCACAATAGAGTAAAGGAAGTTGAGTGCCAGCTGGTGACAAGCTCCTCTCATTAAAATCTCTTATTAGGTCAGAATAAACACACCATCAGTCCAAAATGTTGTGTTAATTTCTTATGAAACCATATAGAACATGTATTATAATGGAAATTAGAACCTCCCTGATGGCCTGTGGGTAAAGGCATTGGCCAGTGATGTGCTAGACCAGACAGACCAAAATGTCATAGGTTCATTCGTGCTGTGTGGAGCAGCATCTCTGAGTTAGGGAGGGAAAATTATTCACTCCTGATTGCTGAAATGTACTGGGTAAGAAAATCAGGCTTGGTTGTAATGCCTTAGCCCCAGTGGTCAACTTGCATGCCAACACAACAACAACAAGAACATTGCATTTATAGAGCGCCTTTCACGTCTGGAGGACGTCCCAAGGCGCTGGACAGTTGGGTCGGGACCCGAGCAGGGGGGAAATGGCACTCATAGTCAAGGTTCACACAGGAATAAACAACACATTGGCAACTTTGTCCATGTGTGCAAAACAAACCCAAATAGTAGCCCAAAAGAGTCTAAGTTCAGTGGTCTAGCACATTTACCCTCAGGAACTCCCCTCTACCCCTTGTTCTCACTAAAGTTACAAGGTGAATGGTCCATAATACTCACCATAAAGATTTTCCAGACACAGTATATAGAGAAAAAATAACCCAAAAAATTAAAATATTTTCCTTGAAATGTTTTTGAGTATTCAATTCTTTCCTAGAAAAGAATAAAAAAACTATTAGACATGTTGCAGATATTCACCATGAGATTGTGGCTTTGAAGCCTTCTGTGAATTAATGCAATGGCAAACGACAGCAAGAACAAAATTAGATGAGCAACTTTCACAGAGAATCTCCTGTAGATGGTGCTGACAGAAATAGAATACATTTAAAAAGTCCATGATGCATTTATACTAAATGTAAGATGATGAATCAACAACAACTTGCATTTATATAACGCCCTTCAGGCGGGGTAGTGTCCCAGAGCACTTCACAGTGGCGGAATCTGACCCTGGGTCAGGGGGAGAGGGAGGGGAGAGGTGACCGTAAGCACGAACAAAAAGGAAGGTCTTTAGGGGGGATTTGAAAGTGGGAACGGAGGGGGCAAGGTGGAGGGATTGAGGGAGAGAGTTCTAGAGTTTCAGGCAAATCACTTGGATTTTGACAGCAATTTGTACCAAACTTAAAAGTTTTAGATAATTTGGAAGGGAACAAATTGAAAACACAAAAGCATATGTATTGTGTTGTGTTAATTTCTTATGAAACCATATAGAACATGTATTATAATGGAACTTAGAACATCCCTGATGGCCTGTGGGTAAAGGCATTGGCCAGTGATGTGCTCGACCAGACAGACCAAACAAAAAGTCATAGATTCACAGAAGGCTTCAAAATTCAAAGCATATGTATTGTAAGCTTTGTTAGAAATATTCATTACTTATTCCTATGTTACAAACAAAAAGTAGGAAATCTATCCTCCTCCATCGCCTCTCCTCGCACCTGAACCTTCATGGTTCTGTCCTTGACTGCTTCAGATTCTACCTCTCACACCGTCTCCAGTTTGACTCCCAAATGGCTTCTCCTCAAACCTCTGCACAATCTTGCGCGACGTTCCTCAGGACTCTGTCCTTGGACCTCTCTTCTTGGTGACATCATCTGCAAACATGGGGTCAATTTCCACATGTATGCGATGACACTCAACTCTATCTCTCTGCCTCCACCTTCAACACTAGGACCACTGCTGTCCTGACAGAATGTCTGTCGGACATCAAGTCCTGGATGAGAGCTAACTTTCCACAGTTGAAGGTCAACAAGACCGAGGCCTGCCTAATTGGCTCCTGTCAGCGCCTCCACACCTCAGGCGCTGACAGCATCACCATCCAAGGATGCACACTCCACCTCACTGAACCAGTCCGAAACCTTGACGTCTTGTTTGACCCTCAACTGTCCTTTCTACCCCACATCCGTGGGGCCGCCAAAAGCCTTATCCACGCATTCATCACATCGAGGCTCGACTATGCCAACTCCTTGCTTGTCGTCCTTCCCAACTCTTCCCTCCACATGCTACAGATGATCCAGAACTCCACAGCTCGCGTCCTCTCACGCACCAGGCTCGGTGACCCTATCACCCCCACCCTCGCCCAACTCCACTGGCTCCCAATCCCCCACAGGATAGAGTTCAAAATCCTCATCATCGCATTCAAGGCCCTCCACGGCCTTGCTCCTCCCTACCTCTGTGACCTGCTAACCCCATACCAACCTGTCCGCTCCCTCTGCTCAGTAGGTTATGGCCTGCTCCATGTCCCCCGCCCGGCCTGCCCAACTATCGGCGGTCGAGCCTTCAGCCTCTCTGCCCCCACCATCTGGAACTCCATCACACATTTCCATCATCTCGCTCGTGCCCTCTTCTCCTTCAAGGCACATGTTAAGACCCTCCTCTTCAACCGCTCCTTCGGCCACCCTCCTACCCTCCCTGCCCTCACCCCTCCTGATCTCAACCCCCTGGTCCAAATCCCTCATTGTCCAGTGCCTTGGGACGTCCTCCCGACGTGAAAGGTGCTATACAAATGTAATTTTGTATTGTGTTGTATAGGTAATTGAAAAGGAAAAAAATGCAAGAATATGGGGAAAGAGTGGGGGAGTGGGACAAATGTATAACACCTTCAAAATTTTTTAATATTTGTGCCTTATAAAGACAGATAATAATGTATACTTTAATACCTAGTTATTAATATAATAGCAAGGACTCAAAGATGTGTGTTAAATGAATTTATCTTACAATGGAAACACCCCTATTCAACATGGTCAAACACAATGCTTGTTTCATCTGAATAGAATGAACTATTATTGTGAATGAAAAAAAACCTTGTCTGTTAATTTCAATATCACCTAGAAACAATCTGTTGGAGGGGACGTATTTAACCATGATAGTTGGTTAAAAGGATAGTTAGCTGCATTCAGGAAGAGGAGGTAAAATTTAACTAATCCCTAATCCTCTACTGGTGCTTTTCATAGGTATTCACAGACATGGTGGATGTTGTGTAGTTAGGATTTTCAAAAAACTTCTACAATAAGTGATTAATGGCCAAGCTAAGAAAAGATGGAAAATTACAAGTATGGAGTTGGAGAAAGGAATGAAAAATTGATAACACACTCCCAGTGTCCTGATCAACAGTCCACCAGATAAAATTAATCTTTTGCTGTATGGTTTGCGGGATATTGCTCTGCACAAATCGGCTGCTATGCATACTACAAAACAGTTACTTTCATTTACAGTAAATCCTGTGAAGTGTTTGGAGGCTCTCGCCCGAAGTGAAAAGCAATATTTCAAATGCAAAGATTATTCTTGTGATTTTTATTAAAAGGGCAAGCTGCTCTACGTAATAAGGAATTGATTTGGTTAACACAGTACCTTGGTTGAATGAAGATCAACAGTTTCAAGGAACAGTTGCCGACTCAGCTCTTCCAGTGCATCCACTTCCTGTTGAATAAGTGAGAGATCTGAACGGGGGAAATTAAGGAATGTCCCAAATGTACTGTTCCAAGACAACAACCACAACTTGCATTTATGTAGTGCCCTTCACACTGGGCAGCATCTCAGAGCGCTTAAAGACCCATGGCTTCTACAAGGTTACCAAAAAGTCGTGAAGCTACCCTATTATCAAAAAAAATCTTTGCTTTAAGACGTATTAGACATTGTAATAGTATCACAACTTTTTGGTCACCCTGTATTAATGATGCTCATTTCTAAACAAGAATTGTATACGTTAAAAGTGGTTTATAGCCAATATTAATGGTATACAAAGGTTGAAGAGATGAGGAAGACTGAAGGATTGTAGACAAAAGTTTCTTTAATCCTGACATGTTCAGAATTTACAGAAACACTAAATAGTATGACAAATAGTTAAAAATAAAGTCTAAGCACAGCAATAAAAATTAACAATTCTTCTCCCTTCAAAATAAAGGTTGGGTTTGAAAAAATACCAGAAATAGTGCCTCAGAACAAAGTGCTTCTCCTGCAGAAACCTCCATGCAACCTCTGCAAACTATGCTCCCACGATCCCATCAGAATCAATTTTTCATGGGTTCACGTGATGTGCAGAGAATTTCCTGAAGGATGTGCATTTTATGTTGCCAAAGTGTTTTATCCAGCTCAAGGCAACATTTAACGACTTTCACAACCCCAATCTGTATATATTTTTCTCATCGTAAAAGGATACTTTCACTATTAGAAGAAGAGGATGTGACACTTTTGATCATTCCCCCAAATTTAGTAGGTGCTGATTACGAATGAAGACTTTCAAAACCCCAATTTGTGTATGTTTTGCTCGTGGTAAAAGGATACTTTCATCATTAGAAGAAGAGGATGTGACACTTTTGATCATTCCCCAAAATCCAGCAGGCTTATTCTGCACATCACCTCGCTGGTACATCATTCTCCTGGTCATGGCAATTCTAAAGGGAAAAATGAAAAAAAAAAATTGTAAGCACAGAAAAGTTTTCAGGCGGGACTTGAAAGAGGGGAGAGAGGGGGCAAAGCGGAGCGATTGAGGAAGAGTGTTTCAGAGTTTTGGGGCGTAGTGGCTGAAAGCACAACCTCTGATGGTAGGGCAGAGGGTGTGAGGGACGAGCAGGTAGATGGTGCTAATCGAGTGGAGGCGCCGGGTGGTGGGTTGTGGAGTGAGGAGGTCAGAGAGATAGGGAGGTGCCAGGGAGTGAATGGATTGGAACACGAGAGTGAGGATCTTGAAGTCGATCCGTTCAGACATGGGAGCCAGTGTAGTTTTAACAGTGCACTTATTGAGGTTATGAGTAGAAATAAATATATATATAAATAAATAAACAATTGGCAGAATGGCAGGAAAGATTGAACTACAATATGGTGCCTGATCTGAAGTGTAAGAAAGAGTGAGGCTGGTATCAAACCTCCCACACAGTTCTGTGGAACACACATACATGAGATGCCTCTACAACAACAACAACTTGGATTTATATAGCGCCCTCCACGCCGGATGGTGTCTCAGTTTAGGATCCTGAGACCGAGCCAAGGGGAGGGGTGGGAAGGTGACCAAAGGCACGGTCGAAAAGAAGGGTCTTCAGCAGAGACCTGAAAATGGGAAGGGAAGGAGCGAGACGAAGGGAGTGAGGCAGTTCCAGAGCCTCGGGGCATAGTACTCTATACAGATAAAGATGCATCTAATGGGCACTTAACTAATTATGAATTGCTGGAAAGAAAAATTATAGGGCTGCATATTGTAAAAAGAAGTAATTCAAAACTGGAGTCATACAAACAGACATGGGACATTGAAGGCATAAAACACACATAGGGATGAGTAAGACAGCAGGAAATGTGTATAACGTAGAACAGATCTATTTAAAAATCAGTGGGTGAAAAAAGCATACCTCAGAGATGGGCAAGGAAAATGTGAGACAACGGAGATTTGAAGTTGTTAAAGACAAGACAACGTTCAGCGAGTGATTAAAGAGTGTGCAAAAGGGAGATGAGAAACTGTGTCTGAAACCTGTAAGGAGATTAGCTGGAGCAGTGTAGGAGGCCAAAACTAGAAAGGTCATAGTGAGAGTGGGAGTTAAATTTTTATATTGGATGCAAGTCAGTGATTCAAAAACTGTCTAAGCCTGTTCCAACATGCCTTAAAACAGTTCATATTATTTCAAACATTGGCTTGAGGCCTAAAACATTCCTGAAACATTAACAGTGAACTTCTTGTGAGCTTCATAATCCCTTAGTAGCGATGGATACACAGGGCTTCCTCGATGTAGGAAACTGACTGGAGTGTCTCCATTCAGCACCAACAAATCCAAGAACCAAGTAATACTGGCTAGGTACAGTGTTTGGAATAACTCCCCTCATAAAGCAGGGAAAGCAACTAACAAAGAACAGCATTAGGAAAATGTTTGCAGACACAAATACTGCATTCCTGGAGAAAAGAAAGGATTGGCAAAGAAAGGAGATAATAGTTTATTTCTGTTTTACATTCTAACTGAAGCAATCTGATGTCCTTCCTCCTAAGAAGCTTATTACCTCAAAAGTTTAAATATAAAACAGAAATAAACTGTCTATAAATAAGATTTTTTCTTTAACAATGCAGAAGAAAGACTGGGTTCATTTCAATAGTGTTTTAAAATATCCTCCTGAGAGAAAGGCACTATAAAAATATAACTTGTTGAAACAGTATGGTTATTCCTTTAGTACAAGTGCAGAAGAATCATAATGGTTACTAACAATGGAATAAATTGTATCAAACTGTTCTCCATTTAAATCACTAACTTTTTTTAAAAGTTGTTTTGTGATTCAAGTCAGGGTCCAAATCCCTGACTGTTCAGCGCCTTGGGACGTCCTCCCGACGTGAAAGGCTCTATACAAATGTTATTTTGTATTGTGTATTGTATTCAGACAAAAACCTAAGGCAAACAAAACATACATAAAAATTGCATTGAAAAAAAATACTATATTCTATCAACTTTATGGCCGATATATCTTGACCCAAACTGATCGACTTTCACAGGCTATGGATTAACATAAGAAAGGATAAAGTCCTTCTTCCTTAAAGTTTTACAGACCTGTAGGAAAGTTATACAAGACCCGAGAAAAATCATTCAATAACCTTTTCCTCCTTTCTTAAAAAAAAGAAAAAAATGTCCCCTATTGCACTTTAATTTGCATATTGGTTTACCAAACAATTAAAGAACCAGCTGTGGGGGGTATTGTGAAAGCACCGAAAAGAAATTTACCAGAAATGTTATTGAATAAAATGAACTAAAAAAAATTACTCATCATTAGCATCTTCATAAACATTTTAACCTTCTAGATGAAAGAGACTTCTGAAACAGCAAATTAAATATGATGGAATATTGGTTACTAGTTTTTCCCAAAAAAAATCTTGATTACAAGCATTTTTCCATTTAAGATTGAAAGCCAATGTAATTCGGGCAATATGATTGGGATATCAGAGTTAATTTATCACGACAGTTGGAATTTATCACGACAAATCTACCTGAAGATGTAGGAAGCAGCCCAATCCTCCCAGCACAAGGTCATGGATTGCAGCGTTCGACTTCTGGGTATCTACTTGCTTTAATGGTTAGTGTCCTGCTAACCAGGTGTCACCCTGGCTCAGTTGGTAGCACTCTCACCTCTAAATCAGAAGATTATTGGTTCAAGATCCATGCTGGCACTTTGAGCTCATAGGCTCAGGTCACACTCCACTGCAGCACTGAGGAAACACTGCATTGTTGGAGATGCCATCCCGTCTGCCTGATCAGGTAGACATTAAAGAATTAATGGCACTATTTGAAAAGACAAGGGAGTTTCTCCCAGTCTCATGGTTAACAATCCCCAGGTAAAATCAGTCACTTACTTAATGACTGTTTAAGGGACACTGCTGTGTGTAAATTGGCTGCCATATTGACCAACAATAAAATCCTGTAAAGTGCTTTGATACATCTCGACAATGTGATAAGATGCTATATCAAATGCAAAAATGATATGATTACATTATAACCAGCATTCACTACTGAAAACAGTATTGGAGCCTCCAATCCTCCAGGTTAGGGTGCAATCAAAGTGATAAAATACTGAAAATACTGTTAAATTGACCCCACTGTATTACAAGATATAAAATATAAAGTTTGCAATGAGGTATTTATTAATCAGGTTTTTAAAAAGAAAATGTAACATTCTTTGCACCAATTCTTGGGGACCAATACAGTCATGGTGAAGAGTGAGGGTGCCTCTTTAGTTTACATTACTGGTCAGTCCAGATTATTGATTTTCTCATGAAAAAATGTTCATCAACTAAGGAGCTCCCCAGCACACAATGAATTAAGTAAATCACTCTAAAGTCCACACCCCCTGCTCTACAAGCCTATCACCCCCATCCTCACCCGGCTCCACTGAGTTGCCATAGGATCAAGATCCTCATCTTCACCTTTAAATCCCTCCAGGGACCATCTTTGTGACAACCTCATACAACTGATCCGGCGCTCCCTTCACTCAGCGGGCACTGAGCTACTATCCCCCACCCTAACTGCCCCACTATCAGTTTTGAGCTTTCGCCTTATCTACTCTCACTTTCTGGAACTAGAATTCCATCCCAGAATCCCTCCAACTCGCTCCCACCCTCCCTCAACTCTTTCAAGGCCCGTCTCAAGATCTTCTTCTTTGACCACGCCTTTGTTTATCTATCCCATCCTCAACCCTCTTGGATCCCGACCCCAGCTCAGGTACCAAGTCAGGATTGTTAAGTGCCTTTGGATGTCCTACCGATGTGAAAGGCACTATGTAAATGTAAATTTATATTTTAAATATCACCGTGAATGAAACTGTCGCAGCTTGTCTTCCAGTCAAACAAAAGCAAGCAACCTGTAATTATACAATGCCCTTCTGATAGATTAATGACTTGGATCAAGGTAGGTTTTAAGGTGGAACCTGAAAACAGAGAGAGAGCAAGACGGAGGGATAGAGAGAGGAGTTCCAGAGGTTAGGCATAGAATGCAACTCCAGCCTGCATTTATATAGTGTCTCAGAAGAAAGTTGATTCAGAAACAATATCCTTTTAAAAGTGCAGCATCCTTTCTTCATAATTTCATAATTTCTGCAGCAAAATGTGTGATATATCAGTGTCATCAATGAACTTTAGGACACTTCAGATATCAAGATTTTAAGTCCAGTAAGTTGCAGTATGTGAGAAAGAGGGGGAAGAGAAAAATTCCTGTGGTACGTAATGAAAATCTTAAAGATACCAACTGCTCATAAAAGTTCACTAAATTACTCATGGTTAAGAAATGAGAAAAATAATCTGTTTTTAAAAAATCTAGTAGTATAAAAAAATTAAAAGGTTTGTCATATTTAGGGGTTTCCGTTTGGTAAAAATCCTGATTGAGGTTATGAAATGGACTCCATAACAGTATTTAAAATTCTTGAGGAATAATAGCACTGATGGTTATCGGAAAAGAGCAGAGGAAAAGGATTAGCAAAAATAAGTCCAGTGGGGAATTTTAGACCAGCATGGACACGATGGGACAAATCTCCTCCTGATTGCATGAAAATAAATAATCCTTACAACATGGACCACGAAACTCAAGCAAAATAAGGAATAGAAAATCTGGTGCAATTTTTGTGGTCTGTATTTTCATTATTCAAAAAAAGTAATTAAAATACTGATCTTTTAACTCTTTTTCTTTAGTTATTTTACTTATTATCACTATCACTCTCATCATCTCTTCTCAGTATTGGGGAATTCCAGTCCCTAGCCAATTAACTTACTTTTCGGGTTCGGTGAGCTGACAAAAAGAAAAACTTGTCAGCATAAGCCCCTTCAATGGACTTTTTCTTGAACAATCAGATGAAGTTTGGAACATGCAATTTAAATATATCAAGTCCTGAATTATATGATTAATATCCCTTGGTTCGAACCATTTTGGTTGATTTAATC